TTGGATTCTTGGCACGATTGACACGCATGGGATCACGAGGATCGCGCAGATCGCACGCAGAGCTGGTTCGGTATTCCCAAGCGGTGGTCGAGGGAATACATATACTGTAGTCCCGAGCCATGCGCATGTGGTATCAGAGACAAGGGTACTTTCTGGCACCTGTGGGTTTGCAGCGTGGACTGTGCTTGATTCTCTTTCAAAGTTCCCCTCAATGCGGAGACTTGGCTCGGTAAGAGTGATGACAATCAGCTGCGAGCTCGATGCACAGCCGACAAGCGAGGGATTTGGACAGGTTTTGTGATACATCAGTTACTGTATATTTATGTTTGTATTATGTATATTATAATTATTATATATTAGATTCTTATATGATTATATGGTAAATATTTTGTTAAGCTTCTCAGATGAACACCCGGTTTGTAAAATCCGCGGGGTTTTGATCTGTTTGGAGTACTTTCAAGAAGTCCTCCTCCAAAAACCAAGTCCAGATCGGCCGGTTTTGGGGTGATGTTTCTTCGCTGGATGACTCGACTTTTTTTTCTCCACCATGTGAAACAGATGTCGAGCACCCAAAAGTTCTGCTCGCTTCCACCACCCCGAACGGTTCTTTATTTACAACCCGACGTTCCTGGGTTGGCGTGACTGGCGGGTGGAAGACTTGGAGGTTCCCGAACTGGATGACTTCCCCGAACTGCATGAGGAAGATGACTTTGATGACTTCTACTTACTGTATATAGTTTTTTTTCTTCGGTTCCTGGAGTCCATCAGTCCAATTCCACGCAGAAAACCGATGGCACTCAGGAAATGCTTCAATGGATCAAGACCTACTTTGAGCGGACGTGTCATGGTCCGGGTGGGACCTCCCAGTTGAGGGCGTCAACGGGGGGGACCCGGAGCGGGTCAATGGATGCGCTCAGATCGTCCAGCGAGGTCGAGTCCAGGATCTCGTTGTACTGGACCTGGTATGACCAGACATATGGTTCACTAATGTAAAGGACCAGGTTTTACTGGGTCAGACTGGACTTGTAGGGCCAGGGGATTGTTCATACAGTGCTTGTTCGTTTTTCCTTGTTTTTTTTTCCAAGTACTGTTCCATAGAGCTAAACAGACTAAACAGGAACATGATGGAAAATCCACTGGGATTCTTGGGGTTCCTCAGGTCACATGCCTTCAAACAGGTCCATGGAGGGCGATCCAGGTCTCAGGTGAATTGGCCCTGCTCGAGCTGGGCTTTCCCTGTTCAGGTGGCTTGTTTCCATCTATTTTGGACTGCTACCTCTTGCTGGTCCGGTGGGACCGAGTCAAAACGCTGCTTCCGAACCATCTCATGGGGCCCCTGTACGTGGGTCTGAGCTCCTTACCCTCAGACCCGGTGCCGCCCGGGCCGATGCCCGTCCAGGTGCGGACTACGTGGCGGCGGCCCGACGCTTCACCGAGAACCTGCCGGACTGGGCGAGGACCAGAAAGCGACGAAACAGACTGGACCGAGTGAAGTGAAGTGTGGGTGAGGGACGGTGCAGCGACCAATGCTGAGAACAGGTCGCTCAAGCCCAACGCAGCTTTTCTGCGACTGCAGCAAGGCAATTTTGTGAAGTACTTGTAGTACTTTTGGATTCCTTCCCATCCCCTCTCGGACATGGTAAGTCTAAGACCTCTGAAAAACATTGAAAAACGTTTGGGGTAAGCGGCCGGGAGTTGGGGATGACAGTCGGTGTAAGACTTGCGAGGTTTGAGTGTATATTTATTCAATCCAACCTAATAGCGATGGCCTCCAATTCTAATAGATACATTGCAGTATCATTGCACACGTAAAACCCCGATGTCACATGATTGCTCAGATCATACAATGCCATACAATACCCAGACACTCCATGCATTGGAATACTTGCCTACATTCCAGTACATTCCTACATTGGGGTGGTTGACCCAGGGTCACTTTGGTATGTATTCCAGTCCCAAGGAGTGTTTGGGTTATGTTATATACGTGGGTCCAGCACCACCTGGGTTCACGCCCGGTGAGTCAAACAACAGGTGAAATGAATGCAGTTTGAGTGTCATTTGGAACCACCCCTTGTTGTCAAGCCCAGTCCACCATCAACCCCAAAACAGACACAGAACATGCATTCCAAAGTTGTGCAAATCATTATTACATGTTGTTACACTGAGAAATCCCTTTTTTGCGACGCAGCCAAGTTACAGCTTCACCTCTCCAAGAGAACCCAAGAAAAACACCTAGCATCCTATCATCCTACGATTGAAGCCTTCAACGATATCACACAGTTAATCATATCATATATATACATATATTCTCATATATATGAACAAGGCATCCATGTTTGGTGCAGTATCTCCATATGTGCTGTCTACTCTACAAACCCAACCCCTTTGCCCCAGCTGGACCAGGCCCGGCGCGCCGGGCGCGCCGCAACGCCGAGCCTCCACCGACTCAAAGCCTCGACTCGCGAGCGGCCCAGAGGAGGGGAAGGATGGGAGATGGGAGACCAGCCAAGCAGAAGGGTAAGATAGGGTAAGTTGATGGCCGGTCTCGGAGCCTTGCCAGCACATAAATATGGCTGAGGAGCACAAGGATGTCACAATTGCTGCTAGAGAGTAAGTAGACTGTTGACTTCAACCTCCTGTCTCCAGATGCATTGTAGATCTCCGGGCCTGAGAGGTCTACACTTCACGAAACTCGTCCATTTGGTCGGTGGTTTGACATAAATAGAGTTTAATATGTTCGAATACACATGACAAAAAGAAACTGAGTGTCTTTTTGACCATGCACCAGTGGGTGAAGTTTGGGTTCTAAGCATCTCTATTCTTGAGACCCGGGCTGATTTTCTTGCAGCCTCAATTAACAGAAACAGCATACAGCACCCGCGCAGGCGAGCATTTTGTATTCATGCGAACTGTCTATTGCATGTGTTGATCGAAGGTGCCACCTGCCTTGCATACGTTGCCAAACCCACCCCTATGATCCGTATGCATGTGGACGGAGAATCTTGATGAATGACCCTTCATTATGAAGAGGCTTTTTTTGCAATCCAAACGAGGGTTTTATTCATCAATCTTCTACACTAGTTCTTTATTTCGCATTAGTTCTCTGCAATTGTAGCTTTTTGGACCAGGATCAGGATAGGGAGACCCCATCCCATTAAAAGATGGAGGTCAAGCGATCCATGTCCATGTTTGTTTGGCTCATGTTGTTGCGAAGCGCAGAGGGCTTCACTTAGTGTCATGCTCGAACGCTATTTGCAGACACCAGTTCCGTTAGAAACAAAACACGACAAGCATTTGGCAGTGAACTGTCGCGCTAGGTTCGACATTGCCACCACAGTCCTGAAGTGCTCCACTATATATGTTGCATGTCAAGTTACAGTAAAACTTGTTGAGTCAGCTAATGCTTGAGTTGGTACAACTTAACTTTATATAAACATCAATAGAAGACCCATCAAATAAATACATTTACTGTTTACTGCTGTAGCACCATCTTCTTACAATTTCCATTATACAACACTCTATCGAAACATCATGTTTCGAAGTAGTAATAGGTGGAGGTTCTGATGTTAAATTTGAAACAATTACACTGCTGTAGGAGGTTGTGTTTTCAAAGTTTCTAGAATAACCAAAATCGTGACTTAACCATAGATTTGTATACAATATTTATTGTGATTGTAGATTGTCTCTGTTAAAACTGCCTGGATTCAGATACCGTGAAGCCGTAAAATCAGTTTCATATGTTATTAATTTTCTAAAATGTGGTTGTTACATGTATCCTTCTAAAAATACATAATTATATATATATATATAGTCAGATGTATTATTTCTTGCGACACCTATTGAAATATCGTGAACCCAATATTGATCTAAATGAACAATTCTAAATGGTGTATTTGTTAAAGTTCAATTAACATAGCAATATACATTATATCTTGATTTTACTACAACTGCTACGTGAGCCCATTGATAAACTAACAGTTGATATACTGTGAAACTAAGTAACAGTAACATCTTGATTGAGCTGTCATACAACCTCCTCAACGGTAACGGGCCACTGTCAGGTCTTTGCCGGCGGCCCCACTGGCTGAGTTTCGACCGCCGATCGAATTGAGGCCTCCACGGGCGTGCTGAAGAACCGGGTGTGGCAGCCTGGGAAGCGGCCAGACTTGCTGGCTCATGGCACATGCATGCTTAAGGAATCTTGAGGTTATGAACTTGGTTAGTACTGCATTAACTATACTAGCTACATCTAGCTACGATACATCATACTATACTGCAGGTAGTTGTGGACCTGCAGACATGTGGTTAAAGTGTGTTTGTGGTTGTGACAACCGTCCGCCGGCTTCCTCAGTGAGCTCCTCCCAGGACGGCTATGGCTCCAGACAACTCCAAAGCGGCAACCTGGCCTTGCTGCAGGAGACCCAATGGCCAAGCCAAACCGCCAATGGTCAAGCTCTCCTGGAAGCAGATGCCAGAGGAAGGAAAACAATCTTCCCAAAATGGCACCAACATCGTCCTGATGTCTTCAATGTTTGCCAGACGACCTTGACTTACCACGGGGTTTTCTATGGAGCTCCAAGATCGTGTAGGGTAGTCCATTGGTAACCTTGCCACCCCCGATGTTTTTTGGTTGTTTGCTTGCCCGTTCTTCCTTCGGCCTTGGAAGGGTGCCTTTGTTTGATTTAACAGAACCGTCCCTGTGCTCATTGGTTTGACATCTAAGAAAGAGAAGCAGGTGGAAAAGAGATGAACAGGCTAGGTTTTGATGCTTCAAGTTTGAAGGAACTTCAGAGAACTTCCACGTTTGGAAAGTTATGTGTACTCATTCACCATAAGGTTTTGAATGATGGTGGCAATCTACTGTATCCTCAGTAGCTCATAGTCAGCCATTCATTTCATCATATTCATTCATGTATGAGCTTCTTCAAACATCAAATGGTTATTTCCCACAACTCTGACTTTGTATACGCTGTGCCACGACTTTGCCAGTACACCTAGGAGAAAAACCTTGGTGATACCCCGATCAGAAAGCTCGCTCGCGCCATGGCGTCCCGCCGCTGAGCGGCCAGCGGAATGAGTGAGGACCGCCGAAATCAGTAAGGCAGTATATCGTCCCATGGTTTTGGATGTTTTGGAGATCCAATATCCACAACCTCCAGAATCAGTCAGGCAATATGCTCCACCATGTTCAAGAGAGAGCAGTTTCCCACCGTTTTCGGGCCAGTCAGGCAGTCGAGACAAACAAGTCAGCCGACGAGTCAGGTGTCCAGGAAGGGGTTGGTTGAACTGTCCGTCGGAGACTGGATGACGGAAGTTCGGTATCTGGTTATATTATGAGGAATATGCAATTTTTGTTCCAAGTGGTAGAGCTTTCCTCCCAACAGGTGACCGGTGAGCCCTTGACAATGCATGTGTTTCTTGACATACTGAGCTGCCATGAGTTTTCGCCAGTGGGGTGTCCTGATGGGTGACAGGAGCCGAACTTGACGATCCCATGAGTGGGAAGACCTGGTTGGCGGCACGGCTGGCCAATGCCTCCACCCTGCAGAGCTTATGCGAGGCATGGGGTGGCAGAGTGGGCAGAGCCCCCCCCAAAAAGACTGTCAAAACAGCACCTGGGTCGGCAAAAAAGAGACATCCGAGTCCTTGCACCCCATAGTACTGTGCCGACTGGAGGGAATCATAGAGGGAACCGACTGCTTGTTTGGGTAGCAAAGATGGCAAGTCCTTTCTTGATTATTGATGAACCAAATGTTTCGTTGAAGTAATCTGAAGCCAAAGTAAGAATCTCTTCCACATGGGCCACATGGGTTTGCTTTAGACTAGCTTGGGAGTATGCGCCGACCATCATGAGGTGTATGATGGTGAAACACTCTGTGCAATCTAGTTTGGCTCCTGCCTCCCTGCCAACTATCTACTTGTATTTGTTCAACCTACCTTCCTACTCTACTACCCACCTACAGCTGCACATCAGTTTGAGTTTCACTTATTTTCACATCGTTCAATTAGGCTTGAATCTGGAATGATCAGCAACCCTTGCCCTGGCAGCATCTTCTTCGCCAGGCAGTGGAATCTTCACCTCGATACCTTTGGTGCCTGGGACGTTCGGACGTTTGGGACGTCGGATTTTTTCCTTGATGGAGCCATCCCAGTTGAGCGGTGAGGGGTTCCTTTCCTTGGATTGAGCTTGTTTACGGCATCGTCTGTGCAAACCCCGCCATGCACAAAGGGTTTAGCTAGTTTGGACAAAGCCCCAACCATACCTGATTGATTCGAATCCAATATTCAATTGCGGACTCTGTGCGTTGCAAGCCGCATGCTCTTGAAACTTGTCAGAAGGACAAGCATAGAGGCCTCCACCAAATCCTGCAGATGGTCTCCAATCCAACCAAAATTCTCTCCTGAACTCTCATCACTGAACAATGATGAACAATGAATGTTTCAAACATGCACCACTGACTGGAGAAATCTGGAGAGCCTCTCATGCGATTTGTCGATTTTCCACCTCACAGGAGCTCTGAACTGCTTACCACCGCCTGGCACACGGCTGCCACGCTGACGACCAGTCCTGGGGTGAGGACCTCACTGCAGGCGGAGTCGTCCAGGCGGCTTTTGGTGCGGCTGCTGGCGGAGCAGCGGCGGTTGCGGCCAGAGACTTGGTGGAATACGTTGAGCTGCAGTGTTTAAATGTGTTTAATAGTTGTTACTAAGAAGCTTCAAAGACCTAAAACGCTTCTTGTTACTAGTAGTACAGGCCTCCAACCTAGCCAGCGATGGCCTCCGCCCTAATAGCGATGGCCTCCAACCTCTAAGAAGCTTCAAAGACCTAAAACGCTTCCTGTTACTACAGGTGATGATACGATTCCCAAGGAAAGGAAGCTTCTAGTTACTAGAAGGCTTTATGATCATTGAGAGTGGGAAAAAGACACCCACTATCCAGTGTACGAGCTATGATCTACAAAGATTGCATGACAGCGCGGAAGTCAGACTGCGGACTTTGGCAGACTTCGGTTTGTAGGCTGTGCTATGATGAGTTCTCCAAGAAAGCACCCTGGTAGCTCTTGGTTTGGTCTCAAAATGTTGTTTCAATGTGGTGCTAAGGACTTTGACGCGCGAAGCATGGCGTGCATGGTTTGGGCCTGGAGCAAGCTTCGGGTCAAAGAGAAGGACGACTATGGCAAACAGCAGGTTTTCTCAAGGAAAGCAGCTGTTAAACAAAATATATCGGAGGTTTCTATGCATTGCCAATCATGTGTGACTGTCTTCCGGCTACTCAATTTAGGATGCTGATGTTCATTGTTTCTTGAACCTAGCCAGGACGGTGTTCAAAGTTAAGCAAACCATAGAGGTATTTTTTTTTTTTTAAAAAAAAAAACATATTCGTTGCATGCTGGTTCTTTTCTTAGATGTTGTTTTGTTGGGATGGTTTGTCCTTGGTTGTTTTCTTGTGTTGGCTCTTGGTTGTTCTTGCCGTTGTTATCCTTACGACGGTGTGAATCTTGGATGACGTGTTGAAACTTCTGAACCTGGTGATGTCGCGTCATCCTGTAGACTCCGTTCAACCACCAAGTAAATTTCACAGCATTTGAGGGTAATTTCGTTTTAATTGAGTCCAAGCCCGGGTAAAGGTCTGTTGTGTGTGGGAAGCATGTTCTAGCCCATTTGGGTCAAAGATGGACAGGAGGTCCTATTTTCGAGGCCTGGTGTCAACCCCAAAAGGGGATGAATCATCAGGAAAAGCTCTTGTCCCAAACGGGACATGTTTTCGAGCTTATGATGGTGATGATCATGGAACGCTGAGCGACCGCAGAAGTTACTTGAGACAAATAGTGGGGAAGAGTGAGTCATCGAAGGGTGATCTGGCTTTAGCAGAAGTTTCAGAAAAAGTCCAAGAATCTGATTCAGTTCACCAGACTTTGGCGACAGTGTGCTTTGATCTTAAAAGGTTGAGGCAACTCAAAGCTGCAATGCTACAGACTGAGTCCAACAAGACAGCTCCTTTTCGCAAGCGGCCCAACTACAATAATTCCCGAAGGAGACTTCTTGCAAACCCCAAGGTCCGTGTGAAGTGGCTTGTTGTGCAAAGCAATACTTTGCTGTGTGGTGATGTTGTTGTATTGATGATGATTGCTGATGATGGTGACGTAGGGTCTTCTTCTTGAAGGTTAAGTTTGGTCTGAGGTTATTTTCATTTTCGTGTGGTCCTGCCATCTCACCATCACCAGTCTTGCTTGGGGTGTACTCAGGCAGGCATCCAATGGGTGCAGCAGGAGTAGATTGGCTAAGCTTCTGACATCATCTTGCCGTTGCCATCGACAAACGTGCTTCCAGGGGTTCCAAGAGGATCAGGATACTGTACTTACCTTCCTGGATACTTTTTGGTCTTTGCACAAGATTGAGCAAGATTCTTATGATCGGGACTCAGTTGATTATTCACTGAATTTGGTGTATGTTCAGGTGTTGTTTCACATAGTATTCTGTTTCGTACAATGCTTTGGCTGCCAAGATTGAGAGCATGCTGACTGGCATTGCAAAGGGCAATCGCAGCTGGTCGTTCCTCACAGGGAAGCGGATCATCTCTTCGAAGTGCTTGGCAGCACTTCTAGGCATTCGATCGGGTCGTTTCTCCCGAGCTGGGGCAGGCTTGCAGGATCGACGATTTGCAAAGTTTGGGGCCGCTACTTATCAAACATTTGCCAAACCGCATATTGTGTCATAGGTTTTGGAAAAAAGAACTGTCAAGTGTCTTCCCCAAGCATATCATCGACATTCCTGCTTGTGAGCAAAGGTTAAGAAGAGAACACCCTTGAAGAACATGAAGTTGGACTCATACTTTCTCAAGTTGTACATCAATGCAGCAGGGATGCTTCCAGATCGGTTTCTTGCTTCATTATATAAATATCCAAAAAGAACAAGCAAATTGGACGCATGTTAACCCACCAGGACACATGTCACTCACCACAGGTTTCAGAGAGCTGCTCGAGAATCACAAGGCGCAACTGGAGATGAGTCCCACCTGACCATCAAGTTCACTCATGGCTCCCACAAAGATGATATTGGAGTCTAACCTGCAATGAGGTTTTGCTGTAAACCAAAGGTCTGTGGCATAAGAGATCATTTCTGGGCAACTTGGGGGTTGCATGCTGAGACACTGATGTGGACAACATGGTGGGAGCGGAGGATGCAGATGAGTGGGAGGTGCCAGCAGAGTCTATAGATTCAGACTTGGAGCTGAAACTGCACATTTTAGGCTTCAAAGCGGTCTGGTGTCAGAGCCATGTCATTTTTAAAACTGACTGCAAGATTTGTTGGTCAGCTGCTCAAAGCAATTGTTCTATGAACAGCTTAGCTCTCAGGATTGTGGAGACCACGTTTGGCAGCTGCCCTTCCGAGCTGCCCACACGCTACTTGCCACCAGGGAACCTGAAGTTGCTCCATGCTGGTAGCAACCTCGCTGTTTCGTAGCTTAGATCAAAACCCAAATCAAGGCTGTTGGGTGAACTGCAGGTCACAGGTCTAACCAGGGTTGGTCCAACCAGCACACAGCCTGAGGTACAATCATTTTGTACGAAGGTTTCAGACGAAGTGGGCTAATCTTTTGCGCTTCTCAAATCCAACTGGATTTGCTGTTTGCGATGATTGCTCGTGCTACAAGACAGCCTTTGAAGAGAATTCTGACACTTTTCTTACCAATAACTCACTAACTGTTTTCATATCTATCTCAGCTTGATGGATGCTCTAATTGATGCTTACAGACTGAGAATTATATTTGTGAGGATCCGGTGGACAAATACGAAATAGCCCGTGGCTATCGTGACCATCTTGGAGCTGTGGCAGCAGACAGGCAGCTTGAAAGCTACCTCGAGGCCTGTTTGGTGATTGGAGTCAAAACCTGACAATTTTCTTGCACTAGAGTTTTTGATCAGGCCCTTGACCCTATGGTGGATGGTGACACATTGCTTCTAACAACTGATTCTTCCCAGCAGCAAGAGATTGAAGTTTCAGGCATCATGAGTTTGCAATTTGTTGCATGTGATTGCATTCCGGGTTGGGCAGGAGTAAGTGTTGCCTTGCTCACATAAGGATGGAATGGACCAATCCAAATGGTGCCTACCGAGACTCCGGCATGGCACTCTTTCGAAGAGCATGCAGAAACTGGATCGTCCAAGAGTAAAAATTCAAGGTGTATGGTGCCATCAAGTCTGTCTTCACCTGCACGTGGTAGATGTTCGTTTGCCGAGCGATGGCTCGACAGTGGCTGAGTCTGTCATCAAGACCCTGGAGCATGTCCACACCATCTTGCAGGACAAGATGCCACGCAAGATCCTGATGATTGCTGCTAGGCAAAACTGGAGTTGCTCAATGTGAGATATTGTTACTGAGTTACTGTTACACTTTTGGTCAATGAATATCTATATACTTTTAGATTGAGGCGGACAATACTGTTCGCGAGAACAAGAACCAGACGATCCTCAAACTGTTAGCGTGGATGCTATTACAGAAGGGATTGGAACTCACTGGAATATTATTCCATCGCGTGGGGCATACTCACGGAAGCTTGGGTAACTTGACGAAATGCTAGTTTGCTTCAGATTCATTAATTGTTGAAAGGGAGCTGCAGAACCAGGAGTTTTTCGTTTTAATATGTCCCTTTGACCGAGATCAAATATACGGGATCCTGAGCAAATCCATGAGGTGGGTCGATTGTTTGGCTGACCCACCAGACATAGAGGAGACACTTGGGGCAATTTGAAGCTGTTTTGAGACTAACTACTAACAGCCATGTCCAAACCAAACAGCCGCTAACAATTTGGTTGGGCATGGGCATTGAGGAAGCTGCGCTACCTGTGTGACAAGATCAACATCAAGGCTTGGCTGGGAAATGCCGAGGTGCTTGTGGAGGAACTCAGAACTACCAGACCATGGAAAACATGGTTCCTTGTCTGTTTGAGTTTGCCTGGAACAGGTTGCACTTGATTTGATGAATATTTTGTTCATGCGTTTGTTCTCTGAGGCTTGAAGGTGCACCGGTGACATATTCTGGAGGAATGAAAGAAGATAGCAGCGGAGCCCATGCCTTCCTCTTCATGCGTCGTAGAGGCTCATTCTAGATTGAACTGATTGTAGGAGTGCAGGTGAGTGTATTACTCTTTTACTTCTGGCTGCCAGACATCCCTGGAAGCATGAACATCGTCACAGAGGGCCCTGGTCGACATGGATTTGCTGTGTCACCAAATGATGTTGTGTGCTGCGTGAAGCGTTTCCTTGCGGACCATGCTTTGAGCCAGGAGTTTGTGAATTCTTGTTCAACAGCTTCACAAGCAAGTAAGATCATATCATATTGAACCAAACCTCTCCTGCAGGACCCAGTAGTGGTCTTCCCATGTGAGTTCATGGGCCTGGTGGGAGACATTCCCCACATCGCAAGGCCTTTGAAATCATTTGATAATGACAGAAGAAAGAAATTCTTGCAGCTTGCGATGCTACTTCTTCAAACAGAAGATAATGCAAGCACACAGAGAACAGTTCAGTATATGATTGCTTTGAGCAATCCAAATGCTCCTGCAGAGCCTGTTCCTGCGTTGCCCTGGCTTTCTGTCAGGTGTGACAGTGAGTTCGATGCCCTTGTAAGTTTAGACCCAGGGCAATCGCTCATTGGTAAGGTGATTCCCCAAATGCAGTTCAGTGCTCGGATGCAAAGACGCAGGTGAGATGGAAAAAACAATCTAATTGCTAAGATTCGCATAACAACAGATGGACAGATGGAATCGTTCTTTGATGAAATGATTGGAAGCTGTTGCGGTTCTGTTTGTTTGCAGCGCCTCAAGCTGGGGTCTGTAGTTATTTTGAAGACCATGGATGAGATGGAGAGGAGTGCTTGTTTTTCTGCAGCTTATGAACCTGTTCCTCAAACCACTTGTTGTGTTGGGCCTTGAGTCATCATTTGGAAGGACTTCCGGTAGCTTGAAGCGTTCTTTGACAGATGTTCAGTGCAGCCTCGTGAACACTACGCCAGATCCTAAACGAAGGCTTTTTCAGTCGAAGGACTTTCAGAAACTGGATGCTTGTGCTATAAGTGTATGTTTATTCCATTGCACCAGGGCTTGGACAAGGTTTATAAACTTTTTGGAACATTCTGGATATCAAAGAAGCTTCACACCACTTCT